TTCAGTGGGGTTTTGAAAGTAATGGGAAGTAAAGAAATGGAATAATTGACATCCCAAAGCTAGAAGTGAGAAGAATTTATTACGCTAACTTGAAAAGCTTTGATAATTCTTGTTCATTTTTATTAAAAAATATCAAATTAAGACATTTTGTTATTCTCCAGAAAATATATTTTATCTTAGATTTTGTTAAAGGATGCAAATCTTCTAAATAGTTTCTCAACGTAAAAAGAACAAAAGACTTTCCTGTATCTATACCTTTTCATAAAAGTTCATCAGGCTTTTATAAATATTTTTAATATATATAAAATCAAAGCACCAAAATCCTTGGCATAAAAGGGAAAATTCTGAGGGCCGGCCCAGTGGCATAGTGGTTAAGTTCACACACTCTGCTTTGGCAACCCAGGGTTCACTGATTCGGATCCTGGCCACAGACATACACACTGCTCAACAAGCCATGTTGTGGTGGCATCCCACATAGAAGAACTAGAAGGACTTACCACTAGGATATACAACTATGTACTGGGGTTTGGGGGAGAAAAAAATAAAGAAGATTGGTAACAGATGTTGGCTCAGGGCCAAATCTTCCTTACCAAAAAGCATAGCTTTAAAAAAAGAAAAAGGGAAAATTACATTCTAAATGGATGTTTATTCCTAAGCACAGCTCAACATCCCTAGTCTGTGAAAGTGAAATCAAGAGGATGAAGTAGTCATGTCACATTGGTGCTGGTGCAGCAACGCCTAGGGTAGGACCCTGTTAGCTGGAGGCTGGAGACAAACACAAATCTGCTCGGACTTCAGCAAAAGACATGACAGCAACTTCTCCCCTGAAAGTAGCTACTATTGTTCCAAAGCAAACACCAATGGAAAGTCCCAAGGAAAGAAATGCCTGGTGGAAAAGGAAAAGAGCCCCAAACAAAGAAACAAGGGTGGTTCCGTGTGGTGCCTCAGATAGACTTTGATTATTTGTTCCTTCTGACAACTGCTAGGAAGGAGCCCAGAACAGCTGCTACCTTGGACAAATCTCAAAGACCTTGTCGACGAAAATAATCCATAACCAATCTGTAAATGAAAATTTGGGTGAGTTTATTCTGAGCTGAAATCTGAGGACCATGGCCTGGGGCCTTTCTTCCCAAAGGAAGAAAGGGCACCAAAGAAATGAGGTATACAGAATGGTTATATACCCCCAAAGAGGGTGCTTTACATATGATTGAAATGTCCCTCCCACAATAGTCACAAGATTGCCCTGTCTGCACAGCGCTTGATGGACACAGCAGGTAGTGGGTCTGCTATCTTCATGGGTGTAGCAGGAGGCAAGTCTATTGTCTCGAGCTGGGCGGTCACAGGTGAGCGCAGCAGTTTCTAGCCTAAGGAAAGATGCTTAATCCTTAAGGAAATGCTGACGTGGGAGGGGGAGGGAAGTTGCACCTTTATCTCAAGGGCCTTTTGCTCTTGCCATAGGGAATCTCTAAAGCAGATATACAATGCATGCTCAACGCCTCTGTCAGGCCCTTTTGGAAAGACAAGGTCAGGCTGAATTAGGTTTACACCAAAATGGCTTCCTCATATATTCCAATATATCCTATTACTTGCCATTTTTATTTGACAACCTCATGGCAAAAACCAGTGCATTTGAAGTGCTCGTCCACTTTCCTATGTGGAGCTCACTGCTACTTTTAAAAAATATACTATATATTTAAAATATATGTATTATGTTATATATATATTATGTGTTATGTACATTTTTGTATACACAAAATATAAATATACATAAGCACATACAACATATCATATATTATACATTGTATATAATATAAATGCATATATATACAAAAAATATACACATAAGTATGTATCTGTAAACACATATATTTATACATATTATATTAAAATATATACAATTTTATTTATATATGTATATATTCTTCCAACTATATTGAGGAATAATTGACTAATGTAATTACATGCATTTAAAGTGTACAATGTGATGATGTTATATATACATATGCTGTGGAATTTATTACCAAGGTCAAGATAACTAACACATTTATCACCTCACATAATTAATTCTTTTTTTGCACTGAGAATGCATAAGATATATCCCAAGCAAGTGTAAGTATAAAATACCATATTATTAACTGTAGTGGCAATACTGAACATTAGATCCTCAGAACTGAGAGTTTGCATGCTTTGACCTACATCTTCCTATTCCCCCCTCCCCTCAGCCCCTGCAACCACCAATCTGTTATCTGTTCCTGTGAAATCAGTTGTTTGTTTAGATTCTGCATGTAAGTAATACCCTACAGTATTTGTCTTTCTCTTTGGCTTCTTTCACTTAGTGTAATGCCCTCCAACTTCATCAATGTTGTTGCAAATATCAGGATTTCCTTCTTTTTTATGGCTAAGTAATATTCCAGTGTGTGTGTGTGTGTGTGTGTATGTATGTAAATGTATATAAATATATATCACATTTTCTTTGTCCATCCATCAAAGTTACTTTTACATCTTGGCTATTATGAATAATGCTGCAATGAGCATGGGAATGCAAATGTCTCTTCAAGATACTGATTTAATTTTCTTCAAATATATTCCCAGGAGTGGGATTGCTGGATCATGTGGTAGTTCAATTTTTAAATTTTGAGTAACTGCCATATTGTTTTCCATAATGGCTGTACCAATTTACATTCCCACTAATAGTGTATAAGGTTGCCCTTTGTTCTACATCCTCACCAACTTGTGTTAATTCCTATCAATTTGACAATTGTCATCATAACAGGTGTGAGGTGATATTTCTCTGTGATTTTGATTTGCATTTCTCTGATGATTAGTGATGTTAGGGACCTGTTCATGTACCTATTGGCCATTTTTATGTCTTCTTTGGGGAAATGTCTATTCAAGTCCTTTGCCCATTTTTAAATTCGATTTATTTTCTTTTTTCCTATTAAATTGCAGATGTAATGATTTTATATATAAAAAACCTTAAAGACTTCACCAAAAAACTTTCCGAACTAATAAATAAATTCAGTAAAGTTACAAGATATAAAATCAACATGCAAAAACAATTTTAAAGAGAAATTAAGAAAGAAATCCCATTTACAATATCATCAGAAAAAATACAATACTTAAGAATAAATTTAACCAAAGAAATGGGAGACCTGTATGCTGAAAACTATGAGATACTGATGAAAGAAATTAAAGACACAAATAAATAAAAACATACCCCATGCTCATGAATCAGAAGAATTAATATTGTTAAAATGTGTATACTACCCGAAGTAAACTACAAGTTGCACACAATCCTTTTCAAAATTCTGATGGGATTTCTTACAGAAATAGAAAAAACAATCTTAAAAGTTGTATGGGACCATAAAAGACCCCAAATAGCCAAAGCAATCTTAAGAAAGACGAACAAAACCGGAGGCATCACACTTCCTGATTTCAAACCATATTGCAAAGCTATAGTAATCAAAATATAGTACTGGCATAAAAACAGGCACATAGACCAGTGGAACAGAATAGAAAACCCAGAAATAAACCCATGCACATGCTTGTCAATAATCTTTGAGAAGAGTGCCATTATATACAATGGGGAAAGAATAGTCTCAATAAATGGTGTTAAGAAAGCTTTAGATTCACATGCAAAAGAATGAAATTGGACCCCTATCTTATACCACTCACAAAAATTAACTTAAAATGAATCAAAGACTTAACTCTGTGACCTGAAACCATAAAACTCCTACAAGAAAATATAGGGAAAAAGCTCCCTGACATTGATTATGGCAATGATTTTTTGGATGAAACATCAAAAGTATAGGCAATAAAAACTAAAACAAACGTGGGATTACAGCGAGCTAAAAAGCTTCCACACAGCAAGAGAAACCATCAATAAATTGAAAAAGCAACCTACGGAACGGGAGAAAATATTTGCTAATCATATATCTGATAAGGAGTTAATATCCAAAATATACGCACATATTTACATATATGTATATCTGTATTTATGTATATTTGTAGTTATGTATATATGTGTATATATATCATCTGTACACTTATCTGTATGTATATCATTTCAACAAAAAGATTACTTAAAAATAAGAAAAAATCCAAAATTATACTTAAAATGTAATTATCATTATATTTTTCCTTAAAAAAAATGAAATTTTAAAGTCTTGAAGGAGAGAAGAGGGAATGAATACTGCTTTTCTCAGGTAGTATTCAGATAGCTACCATCTGATATTGCTCACATTACTTGGCCTGACTCTCAAGGAATTGTCGATTCCTTCTGTGAGATTAAAAACAAAACCAAACAAAAAATTATGCAGTTGTACATTTTATAAGTTTTACTCTTGACTATATCATATAAACATCCACTAAATATATTTGAATTTTAATTGCATATATGAATATTTGAAACTTCAGTATTTGAAAGAAGTAATACATCTTAGCAGAAATGCATTTATCTGGTTGCCTTATGCTCTTTCAAACCATTCTTTGATTTAACTTAACTGCGTTTTTACTGTCATGTAAACAGTTTTTAGTAATAAAAAAGCATCTTCAATTTGGCTGTTCTAACTCTTCTGGTTCAGCCGTGATAAAGCAGGGAGATGAGGTATATTTCTGCTTCCTTATTGCTGGACAAAGTATTAGATGGCCAGCCAGACATATTTCTATTAGAAGTGGTGGTGTTAATTTTAGAAAGCTGGAAAACAGAATAACAACCTCAATTGATGAAAAGCACTAGTGAAAGAAGAGGAGAGCTGCTCTATGTGATCAGACATTGCTCTTTACATGTTACCATCTTTTGCAATTCCTCACCCAGATCACTAAAGAAATACATAAATATTTTTTCTAGAAATATGTTGAAGTTTATTAAAATTTTGATACATCTTAAGATGGCCTCAATACAATTGTTACTGATAATAAATATTTTAACTAAGGTTCAGAAAATCAGAATGCGTAGTATCTTCAAACTGGTAAATTTTATTTTCTGCCATTCTTGTCAGCCTACTCAGCTTTTACCACCAAGTGTCTATGATCTAGGTCAGTCAGGACACAGTCAAGGGATGTCGGAGCTGCTGTGGTCAGCGAGGGGACAATAAAAAAGGAAGTAAGAGGTATGTTTGTCACATAGACTTATATGTACCATAGGCATATGTTATTTGTTAATTAGGAGCTATTCTGATAATAATACAAATTTGATCAAAACTCTGCCTCTTGCATATAATGTTTGTATTCTAAAAGGACTGGGCATTGGTGTTGGAACATGCCAGCAAAGGCAATCATTCTAAATTAGTGACCTGGGGGATTGAGCATGAATCCTGAACACAGTGCGAGAAATTATTACTCTGTAGCAATGGTTTCAATAATACATTATACATATTTCAACATTTAAAACACCAAAGGAAACCTGTAGACATAAATAGTAACGAAGCAGAAACATGGTTAATACTGTTTCCCTATTAACTTTATGGTGCATAATACTTATATAATGCTGTGAAAATGCTCACTTACAATGAGGGGTAATGACTACAATAACACTTTATTCAATGCTTTAATTTGTCCCATGAATCACCCAGGCCAATGTAATTGCAATGTTAATACAGCACTGTTGAATAAATAGGTCATGCACAAATGGAATGGGTCCTTCTTAACTGGGCCATGGTAAGCACTTCTATGAAAGAAGCTTCTGGATAGTTTTACCTGAATGCTTGTTATGATCAGCTCTCTGAGGGAATGTACAGTGAGTTTTACACATTTGTACAGTAGTCTAAAGACTGTAGGGACTGGTTGTCCTGCAAACCTAAAACGGGATCGAGGAAGATTTGGGGATTTCCAAGCGCTGCGTTGATTCCTATCAAATGTTTATTCCTACTGCGTTCACAGTTTTATGCTAAGATATGAGACATAATTAAATAAAATATGAATTATATTTAGTTATATAACAAGTTAATGAAAGATTTTCTGTAAATCAGTGGCTATATGGAAAGGTTATTGGAAAGATCACTGTGGATGGGAATAATTATGGGATATATTTCAACAACCACAGAATGACACAATGTTGATTTGCACTACAGAAAAAGAGAAAGTAATTATAAATAATATAAAAACCCTTTAAAAATAACTAAAAAGAATTTATTATCTTTAAAATGCAAGAGAACAAGGTAAAATATGCCCTACTTGAATTTCTGTCAGAAATTAGAAAATTTTCAAAAATAATCTACAGCAGGAGGATAAGAAATGAAACTTCTATCAACTCAGACAAGAAATGAAAGCATAGCTTTCTCCAATAGGCAGGAAGTGAAAATAAACACTTTTTTTTCCTCAGCTTCAAATGCCTGATCCTTGCAGGTTACAAAAATTCCTGTTAGCATGGTGATAACCTTTGGACTAAAACTTAAGATGACTGAAGATCTAGAACCTCTCCAGACAAACTACAATCGAAAATGAGAGAGTAAAGTATAGCATATCCATATTGTGCGGTAATATGCAGCCATTAAAAATGAAGATGCTGAAGACCTCACGATGATATGGGAAGTACTTGTGCTATAATGTTATGTTAAAAAGATCACAACATACAATCAAATATCAGATGATACCTGGAACAGAACAGCTAGTGGAAGGAGACACACAAAGATGTTAATAATGAGTGGTTTCAGGTTACAGGAGAACAGGAGAGTTTTCTTTCTCTGTTAGTAAGTTTTTTCTACATTTGGAAATTTCTTTAATAAGCATATATTTTATAACTATATTTTTAACTATAATAAGTATATATTTTATAACTAAAATTTCTCAGTGTGGTTTCTAAAAATGCAACTGGCTGCTCAGACATATTAGAATCGTGGGAAGGGAAAAGAAATCAGGAATGATGTTAGAAGAACAAGTTAGAGTTTGAATCAGGTGAAGATTGAATTGGGTGGAGAACAATTTAGAGATAGCTAAGTCCTAGCCTGGAAAACAGGAGTCTCATTAATATGTTCAAGCGCCATATTTACTATGCTGAAAGGGTCAACATTTAACAGAAGTTATACTTTTTTGAAAATTCTGGTCTTACAATGGCATGGAAAAAAAGGAAAAGAAAAATAGAGCAAGGAGATGGGAATCAGAATGCAAGTGTGAGGAAAGGAGTGGGCATAGTAGTAAATAAATTTGTCAGGTAGGCCTCCATGTGAGAGTGAAATTTAAGAAAGTCTTTGAGAGAGGTGGGGTTAATCAAGTGGATATATGACCGAAACAGTTTTAAATAAATTGACATATTGCTTACTTTTGTGAAAGCTTCTAGAATTCTAGTACACTAATGCAAGCAACCACTTGACTTCTTTGGAACATTTACACATGTGACCCCGCGACACTCATAATAAAAGTTGGTTTCTATTCTGGGTTGCTGGCTGAAATTATTATTCTATTAGGATTTCGTTCTATATTATTGTTATTAACATTTTGGGAGTTACCAAGAGAAACTGCTCAATGATAGCAGCCTCATTAATTCCTCCAGTGAAACACTTAAAAATTTCATTGATCTTGGTTCCAAATACATCAAAATGCTGTATCACAGTTTTGTTGAACTATTAACCCTATTGGCATTTTCAAGTGAATAAGCTTATTCCCAGTTCAAAAGTTCTTGTTCTTGAGCTCCAGGTACAATAAAGGAACAGCAAAACTGACCTACCTAGATTATATAGGAAAACTTTATTTAAGCTTCTTACTCATTTTTTTGTATTTACTTCTATTTTCTACATTATGAATATGCTACTGGTCATTTATTTGTCTTTAAAATATTAAAATTTAGGGGCCGGCCCAGTGGCATAGTGGCTAAGTTCACACGCTCCACTTTGGCAGCCCAGGGTTCACAGGTTTGGATCCCAGGCACAGACATAGCACCACTCATCAAGCCACGCTGTGGCAGCGTCCCAGATAAAATAGAGGAAGAGTGGCCAGATGTTAGCTCAGCAACCATCTTTCTCAAGCAAAAAGAGGAAGATTCGCAGTAGATGTTAGCTCAGGGCTAATCTTCTTCACTAAAAAGAAAAATTAAAATTTATACACACACATACAGAGTAAGGAAATCTCAACAATAAAAACTTTAATGAATGTAAAGTTTACTGTACAAAAGCCTTAGGTCCTAATTCATTACTCTAAGACTAGTTAAATTCACAAGTAAATAAATGACTTTCTAAACTGGCTCTCAGGTTTTGCTCTGGGGATCTTGAATGAGTTTTATTCCAATCCCAGAGAAGACCTACATAAATTATAGTTTCTGACATGAAATATGTATATATTTTCTCCATGTGATTGAAATGAACCACATTAATTTGTAAACAATTACTTATGTTTATTATTGGACCACATGATATGTAAGTCCATCTGGTTCTGATTCAAATACACAGTAACTATAGTATATGCAGTCTTGTATAACAAAGGCTTCCATTCGACGTGTCACTATTGAGGACCATTAGGAGCATGTAATATTCTAGCTATTTCCCAGGAATCGAATGAAATCACTAGCATAAAGTCAATAGCACGCATGATTATTTAAATATCTTATTTCTATCCATATAATTTTCTGACTTCATGAAGAGTAAGAGGATTAACAGGAAATGACTAAAGGTAGATAGCATTAAATGATTTACAATGTTGTGCATAAGTGAAGAATATGTAATATGATAATGTTTTCATAATATGTGATTAGGGCAGGCACAGTGCCTACTATTTTACTATATTGAGGCAAGTAGATATTTAATAAAGTATTTTGAATTATTTATTATTCCATCAATTGGTTAAAAATTCATTCATACTGGAATTAACTGAATTTTGCTTTCTTTTGCTTCTAACATAAACGTAAACTCATCATTCTATGTATTGTCTTCTTTTACTATGATTGAATAGCAGAGTTTGAATGGAATAAAATCTTAATGTCTTATATATAACCAAGAAAAGTATAACAGCATCACAGCATGTTATTTCAAACACCAAAAAGTGTCATATGTTTTACTACGAGCCTGTGACTAAGGTCATTCCCTAATTCCTACTCCAACATGAAATAACCTATCTGAGTAAAACAAGATTTAAATAACTAAAGTAACTATGTTATATTAGATTTGTCAAAAAGATAGAGAAGTTAATTCTCTAGCATTTGTGATTCTAAACTATATCAGTATTGAAATCAGGATGGCATATACAAATTCCAAATTGAAAAAAATAACTCTTTTCTTATTAGCCATACAGTTAGATCTGCCATGTGTTGAACAGATTTTTCTTACTTTTACCTGAAAAACTTTTCTTTCCAGCTATTATGCTTTGAAGGTTGTTCCATTGACCTGTCTAAAATTTTTGACATGAAAACACTCGTATTTTTTAAAGCTAATCTAATTAGCCAGGATTTAATAATTTTTGCAAGTATTTATTTTGGCAAAAGTAAATAAGTCTACATTATGTTGTTATGAATTATATTGAAAAAAGTTTACAACCAGCTAATATTTTTTAAAAATTCACTCTTCACCTTTTGAAAACACCAATGAAATTCAATTAAAATTTTACTTTGTGAGGCAGATCTGTGGACTAGTAAAAAGAAGTGTTCATGAACTCAGGATACACTCTTCCTTTTAATTGATTATACTCAAGCTCATAAAAAATGTACAGTAAATGAACTACACACGTTTCAATGTATTGCTGGAAAAAGGATTCATAGGAGGTGACTAGATTCTTTATTATTAGTGTTCAAAGGTCATAGCAAAAATTTGGAGATAAATTAAAAAATACTTATATCCCCAAAGTCTCTATTATAAAACAATAAAAACCCTCACAACAGAAAGTTTAAATTTTAACCATACGTTCAAAGTTCACATTCAATCTTCAGTTTTTGTGCCAAATGCTTCCATTTCTAAAAAACTCTTAAATTTTCTCTTTTATGTGTAAAGTATTTTGAGATATATCTAGAGTTGAATAAGGCATACATGTTTGCAATGCTGAGCTTTTTCTTCCCACTATCAAGATGATTTCTTCTTGTGAAATTACTAAGCCCAGTGCTTTGCTGGCCTCTATTGTCATAATCTTGGTATAACACTTCTGCACATGGTGTAGTCTAATGTCATTTGAGATTTCCAATGAAGAAATAATA